CAGTGAAATGCCCTCAGGATTTATCCTGAGATCCTGTACCTCAGATTGTAGAACCTTTGTCAGTGCAGCCATGTGGATGAGTCACGGCCATTGTTTGGCCAATGTAGCGCAACTGTTTTAAAGACTATGTCTAGCAGTTAAAGCTGCACTGATAACTTATTGTATAAGTTATCAAACCATCCTTGCATTCCTGGACTAGAAGCCTACTTAATCAAATTATCTATTTGATTGTAGAATATACTGTAAAATTAGCTAATGGTATTGCTGTGCACATGCATCTGGTTTAGTGATGTCAGTTTCTTTTCTTTTTTCTTTTTTCTTTTTTTTTCGGCGGAACTGGGGATTGAACTCAGGCCCTTGCACTTGCCAGGGAAGCGCTTATTCCACTGAGCCATCTCCCCAGCCCCGTCAGTTTCATACTGCTCCTTATCTTGTCTGGCACCTCTTATTGTGATGGAGGGGAAGAAATAGAAAACTACCCTGGTATTTAATATTGAAAAACTGAAAGAATGTTCTCAAATTATTCTTTGTTTACTTGCAGGCCAGAATGATACTGATTTGTCCATACTTCTGGCTGGGTTTTTTCGTAGTCCCTGCTACATGCCTGATTAAAGATATAGTGTGGAAATCGTAAGTTAAAGAATGAAGTGGTAACCAAAAAATACATTGTTGTGCTTAACTGCCATTTTCCAATCATATCTATGCATTTCTAATCATACTGAGAGCCACTTGGTGAATATAAAATGCCATGAATTTTTTTAAAAAGGAACTAAACATCTTCCTCCTCCTCCTCCTCCTCATCATCATCATCATCATCATCTGTTGAAGAATTACCAAGAATCTATTTAGAGGGAATAATCAGGAATTAAAATGTATGGGAGAATATATGGAATTTCCTATTTATGTTTATTTTTTCCTCAGAGCAGGGTCATTTCTTCACTCTTTAAAGTGTGACTTATATCACTTTTATCTATTTTATAGGAGCCAAAACCTGATGTAAAAGGATCACAGATTAAAACTAAAAGAACAGGGCAGACTCAGCACCTGCTTAGGAAACTAACAGAGAACTCATTAGACTAAGCACCTGCTTAGGAAAGTGCAGGGGTCATGGTTTGATCCCTGCACCACATGCTGCACCAACCCCACCCCCAGGCACACTGAGCTGGCCACCTAGTCCAGGCATGGTGGTGCATGCCTGTAATTCCAGCACTGGGAGGCTGAAAACAAGAGGATCACTGTGAGTCTGAGCTGCATAGTGAGACCCTATACATTAAAATACATTATAAAAAGAACAATGGGAGACAATACCCAGCCAAAAAAAAAAAAAAAAAAAGACATTCTTTACTTTTTCAAAAAAATTACACAGAGAACTCTATCTCAGATACAGTTCACCCAAATATGTAAATATTAGATTAGAGGATCTCATTTTTTTAAAAAAAACCAAGTTCAGTAAGAAAAAATTCCTTAGGATGTTAAAAAAAAGCCTGAAATGTCTAATGCTAAAGGATTTAGGAAATTATAAGGTTTAAAAATTGAAATCTTTTATTCCATTTATTTAAACATGAATCATTGAGCATATTCTGTAGCATGAATAATAAAGCTTGTAACCACTACACATTTCATACTGACTAATGAACAAAGAAAAGCACATACTAGCAGGGGCAATATTAACTTTGCTTTTTGCCACCTGATTCTTCTTTAGTTTTACCATCAGGGAATACATATTTATTTGGAGAAGCCAAAGTGGACAGCTGAATCTTACCCAACAAACCCCTGAAATGTATCAGGCTTTCTTCCCTGTCCCCTCCTGTGAAGTATTTTCCTTCTCCTTCTCCCTCTCCATCTTATGTGTTTCTGTGTGTTTCTGTGTGTGTGTGTGTGTGTGTGTGTGTGTGTGTGTGTGTGTGTGTATGCATGCACAGGCACGCATAATTTTTTATTCATTGTTTTGCCTGAGAGTTTGAGAAGCTTCTTGAAAAACTTTTCATATTGGCATTAACTTCTCCATCAAAACAGCTGTGGAAATTGAAGCAAAAGTACCAAAAAGTTTGCAATGTCTGCATTTATCTGTGTCATCCTGAAAGAAGGCATGAGGTTCCTGAGATAGAGATAAATTACTCACCCTCAGCAATAGCCTCATTGGTTCTCCTATCAGTAAACTTCCTCCTTGTGTGTAACACAATGAGGGATGGAGGGACCAGCCTGCAATGCCAGGCTGTCCTGTCAGAGAAGTAAAAAATATGAACCTGGGAGTTGGTGTTGAACAAGGGCAGCTCTCCCCTCTCCCCTAGTGAGCAGGGAGGAAACTGCTCTCCACAAGCTCTGTGGTGGACAAGGGGAAGGATGCTGGGTTCCAACCCATTTGCAATGCAATTGGGGTCTTCAGGAATGAGATAAAGAAAGGGCCTCTGAGCTTACACTTCCTGCCACACTGTGTCTTCCTTGTTTGAAGTTGTGTTCCTTTTTGAAAAGTCAGCTTCTTATCCTGAAAACTTTCCTCTATTGGTTAAGTTTTACCCGGGAGGAAGGAAATCTTCCTAATTTAATGAACATTTACAGACCCATCTTGGTATCAGTGAATCTGGGATTTTGTTCCATAAAAACATTCGCGATCAAAATTACCCAAAGAGGGCTGGGGGCATAACTCAGGAGCAAGGCACTTGCACAAATGAGGCCCCAAGTTACATCTATACATCTCAAAACTAACCAACCAAGAAAAAAAGGCATCCTCAAATAAACCATTCTCCATTATTGAAGTGCCTTCAATCTATGTGCTGAAGGATTTATAACCCAAAAGACACCGACCCAGTACCAAAGTATTCTTGGCAGCTGAACCAGGGCTGCTGGGGAAGTAGAGTCTGTGTGGAGCTGGAAAATGCAGAAGACTCCCCTTAGATAATATGCATTTTATCTGTAAACCTGAGCAGATAGACAATAGATAGATAGATAGATAGACAGATAGTGTGTGTGTGTGTGTGTGTGTGTGTGTGTGTCTGTGTCTGTGTGTGTATGTTACTGGAAATTGAACCCAGAGCCTTCATATTGATCTACATTTTCCAGCCTTTAAGTTTTTTTTTTTTTTTTTTTTTTCAATAGGACCTAGCTAAGTCACTAAGTTTCCCAGGCTGGGCCAGAACTTGGGGTCCTCCTGCCTCAGGCTCCCCACTGCTGAGACTATACACACATGCCACCATGCCCAGTTTAAAATATAATTTTTTATTGTATTTCTTATACTCCATTATTAGCAGAAAACATTTGTATTAAATTGAGAGAAACTGAAGCCTCCTCCTTCTAGGAGGGGAATGCTTTCTATTAAGTATTTTGTCCAGGGAAATTTTAATGTGCTGTTAAATTTCAACTTTTGAGAAGATGCAGTATTCTCTTCCTCAGCACTGCTGACTGTGTCCTACTGTACATTCTATCTGAAAGGTTTTCAAATTAATTTTCAAAGATAATCACTGTGGAGCAATGCCATTGATTAGGTACTAGAGACTATAATTTAGGCAATGAAGAATAAATCAAGGGTCAGTGAACTTTGAGACTTGAAAAATGGGCATTGCTGCCAAACTGGAAACTTGAAGTTTTGATTCCTGGCAGCTTTTGAAAGTATGTTTGATTTTAGTTTTTTAGAAGGTAGTAAATTCTAGCACATGGCAGTATTAGCATTATAAATATATTACAAAGAGCTACTTAAAGTACATGCTGTATTCTCAAAGAAACATAAATGTTGGTAAAGGTTTTCTATGTCAGGGCCACAGACACTAATTTATTGGCAATGTAGAGGAAATAGAATTTCAGGGGAAACATTGCTGTTGAAAATTAATATCTGAGCTACTAAAAAATGCTAAGCTACTAAGAGATGCATAACTTCTTGAAACTTGTTGCTTCCAGTCTAGTAGCTAATAAGTGGTGGAAGGAGGTGCAGTTGCCATAGGGTAGGATGTAGAGACCCAAAAAATCAGGTGCACATGTGAAAACTGTCAGGGATGGATGATGATGCGTGTGTCAGGTATTGATCTACCCTCTTAACATGAGACCACAGACCCTGCCTCTTTGAACTTACTGCTAAAACGGCCATCCTAAGATTTCTCAGAAACTATACAAAGGATCGACAGTCCCCAAAGTTAGCACTGTGAGCTGGCTCCTTACTGCTGCCTCAGGGCTGTGCCTGCCTGCAGTGGGAAGGGGACAGGATGGCTCGAGGGACACTTGGGCCCTCCTGGCGGTCTTTCTAATACAGTAGGAGAAAATTCAAACTTTTTCCCTGAAGATTGGTGAGTGCTCAAGCAAACTGACACTAAGCAGATTAACTAACGTTAGCTAAATGTGAAACTCACCCAGGGTGCTGGCAAGCTTGCAATCCCTGCACTCTGGGGGTTGAGGCAAGAGAATCCCAGACTCCAGCCTAGCCTGGCCATTCAACAATTTAGTGAGAACTTGTCTCAAAATAAGAAAGGGGGCTGGCCAGATAGCTCAGAGGATTAAAGTGCCTACTTAGGCAAACTCTTTGCTGGCCCCAGTCCCAGGGTGCACTGAGATGACAATTGAGACAGGGTGTGGTGGCACACCCTCTAATCCCATCACTTGGGAGGCTGAAAGACAGGAATGATCACTACAAGTCCAATCGCTGTAGTAAGACCCTGTAGACCCTGAACTAAATACATTTTTTAAAAAAAGAATCAAAATAAGAAAGGGATGGGTGTGTAGTTCAGGTTAAGACCCTGGGCTCAATGCCTTGTACTACACACAAAACAAAAAACTTAAAAAGAGGGGGACTGAGACTTAACTAATCCCTTCATAAGGAAAGGGAATGTGAAGAGTTCTAGGCAATTTTAGAGGGTAGCAAATTATTTTTAAGGCACTGGGTTGCTTCCCTATGTTTCTGGATTTGATTCTTTAGTGCAGATGTTATTAATTCAGGGATTTCTTTTTTCATTTCCAATCTGAGGTCTT